TACATTTAATAGTAAACCAGCAGTTTTGCCGGTAGACAATGAAATCCATTTAGACATATGTCAAAGTACTTGTTCGCCACTTTAGAACCCTCAATCTAAAGTCAAAAAGGTCTTTTGTTTTTACCAGTTACCCTGAACTGCCGGGTTTTATATAATTATTCTGTTATGTATATGTATGTATATGCAAGTATCTGTGTGTTTAGAAGTTAAAAATAAGAGCTTATTTTAACTGCACATTAATTTGTTTGCTGCTAACAGTCTAACCTCGGTAATGTGGTTTTCATATCAGTTGTGGTTAGTTTTTAGGGAGAGGGAAATTTTTATGAATTTTTTTTTTGGTGGTTTGTGGGCCAATAGCAAACATTTTTAATGAAACTATATAAATTTAAACAACAGTGAAGAAATTTATAGATTTATTGCATTATTCAGAATAAGTTTCAGATATTTATAGAACAAATTTTGTGTGAAATAATTCGTAGCTGTCTAGTCTATGGTCTAGTCCATAGTCTAGTCTATGGTCTAGTCTATGGTCTAGTCAATGGTCTAGTCTATGGTCTAGTCTATGGTCTAGTCCATAGTCTAGTCTAGTCTATAGTGTAGTCTATAGTCTAGTCTATAGTCTAGTCTATAGTCTAGTCTATAGTCTAGTCTATAGTCTAGTCTATTGTCTAGTCTATAGTCTAGTATAATAGTCTAGTCTATAGTCTAGTCTATCTTCTAGTCTATTAGTCTATAGTCTAGTCTATAGTCTAGTCTATAGTCTAGTCTATAGTCTAGTCTATAGTCTAGTCTATAGTCTAGTCTATAGTCTAGTCTATAGTCTAGTCTATAGTCTAGTCTATAGTCTAGTCTATAGTCTAGTCTATAGTCTAGTCTAGTCTAGTCTAGTCTATAGTCTAGTCTATAGTCTAGTCTATAGTCTAGTCTATAGTCTAGTCTATAGTCTAGTCTATAGTCTAGTCTATAGTCTAGTCTATAGTCTAGTCTATAGTCTAGTCTATAGTCTAGTCTATAGTCTAGTCTATAGTCTAGTCTATAGTCTAGTCTATAGTCTAGTCTATAGTCTAGTCTATAGTCTAGTCTATAGTCTAGTCTATAGTCTAGTCTAGTCTAGTCTATAGTCTAGTCTATAGTCTAGTCTATAGTCTAGTCTATAGTCTAGTCTATAGTCTAGTCTATAGTCTAGTCTATAGTCTAGTCTATAGTCTAGTCTATAGTCTAGTCTATAGTCTAGTCTATAGTCTAGTCTATAGTCTAGTCTATAGTCTAGTCTATAGTCTAGTCTATAGTCTAGTCTATAGTCTAGTCTATAGTCTAGTCTATAGTCTAGTTAGTCTATAGTCTAGTCTATAGTCTAGTCTATAGTCTAGTCTATAGTCTAGTCTATAGTCTAGTCTATAGTCTATCTATAGTCTAGTCTATAGTCTAGTCTATAGTCTAGTCTATAGTCTAGTCTAGTCTATAGTCTAGTCTATCTAGTCTAGTCTATAGTCTAGTCTATCTAGTCTAGTGTCTAGTCTATAGTCTAGTCTAGTCTATAGTCAGTCTAGTCTAGTCTAGTCTATAGTCTAGTCTATAGTCTAGTCTATAGTCTAGTCTATAGTCTAGTCTATAGTCTAGTCTATAGTCTAGTCTATAGTCTAGTCTATATCTAGTCTATAGTCTAGTCTATAGTCTAGTCTATAGTCGTCTATAGTCTAGTCTATAGTCTAGTCTATAGTCTAGTCTATAGTCTAGTCTATAGTCTAGTCTATAGTCTAGTCTATAGTCTAGTCTAGTCTATAGTCTAGTCTAGTCTATAGTCTAGTCTATAGTCTAGTCTATAGTCTAGTCTATAGTCTAGTCTATAGTCTAGTCTATAGTCTAGTCTATAGTCTAGTCTATAGTCTAGTCTATAGTCTAGTCTATAGTCTAGTCTATAGTCTAGTCTATAGTCTAGTCTATAGTCTAGTCTATAGTCTAGTCTATAGTCTAGTCTATAGTCTAGTCTATAGTCTAGTCTATAGTCTAGTCTATAGTCTAGTCTATAGTCTAGTCTATAGTCTAGTCTATAGTCTAGTCTATAGTCTAGTCTATAGTCTAGTCTATAGTCTAGTCTATAGTCTAGTCTATAGTCTAGTCTATAGTCTAGTCTATAGTCTAGTCTATAGTCTAGTCTATAGTCTAGTCTATAGTCTAGTCTATAGTCTAGTCTATAGTCTAGTCTATAGTCTAGTCTATAGTCTAGTCTATAGTCTAGTCTATAGTCTAGTCTATAGTCTAGTCTATAGTCTAGTCTAGTCTATAGTCTAGTCTATAGTCTAGTCTATAGTCTAGTCTATAGTCTAGTCTATAGTCTAGTCTATAGTCTAGTCTATAGTCTAGTCTATAGTCTAGTCTATAGTCTATAGTTAAGTCTATAGTCTAGGTCTATAGTCTAGTCTATAGTCCGAGTCTATAGTCTAGTCTATAGTCTTAGTCTATAGTCTAGTCTATAGTCTAGCTCTATAGTCTTGTCTATAGTCTAGTCTGTAGTCTAGTCTATAGTCTAGTCTTAGTCTAGTCTATAGTCTAGTCTATAGTCTAGTCTAGTCTTAGTCTATAGTCTTGTTCTATAGTCTTAGTCTGTAGTCTAGTCATATTCTAGTCTATAGTCGTATAGTATGTCTATAGTCTTAGTCTTTATAGTCTAGTCTATAGTCTAGTCTATAGTCTAGTCTATAGTCTATAGTCTAGTCTAGTCTATAGTCTAGTCTAGTCTATAGTCTTGTCTATATAGTCTAGTCTGTAGTCTAGTCTATAGTCTAGTCTATAAGTCTAGTCTATAGTCTAGTCTATGTCTAGTCCAACGGTTCCCAAATGGGGGTCCGCGGACCCCTAGGGTCCGTAGTAAAATCCTAGGGGGTCGCGAAGAGCGAACGAAAAAAACCATGAATAAACAATATTCTGCTTTATATGTATGTACAAATATCTCCAATTTTTGTGCAATAATCCCAAATTTTTTGGTGACTTTTTGAATTTTATTTTTTCGGTTGTTTATCAGGAAGAAGCTAGGCCCTACAAATTTATTGTATATCTTTTATAAAGTAAAGTACTGCGTGATTTGTAATTTTTATTTTCTGTATATGTAGTATATGTACTGAAATAATGGTTTTTATTTCAGACAAATAACACTCTGCCTTACAATTAAATTAGGGATACAGGTATTCCGGAGTATGAAGTTCAATTCAAAGACAGGCTTATTACAGATTTAAGTTTATCAAATTGTAAGCAAAATTATATATTTCCAAAACAGAGGTGACTCTTTATGCATCTCTTTATAAATATTCCAATCCGATGTGATACACAGATTTTAACTTGATTTTGTCGACCAATACATATTATTAAATTAACATCAGAAAATCCATAGCGTTTCGCGTAAATATGTAGCCAAAAACCATGAAGTAAAATAATTCGTTGGTATTTTAAAATTCAAATTTAAGTTCCAAATTCACAGTACTTTAACAAAGAGTTCAAATCATATATTATGCGGATAACGCATTCCGCAACAACATAGAAGAAGTCCAACTTTCTTATATTATTTTCCCGAAAACTTAGCTCACTTACTCAGTTCACCCTTTGCAATCGCAACAAATTTTTGAAACGTGACTCCTTAAGCACATGTGACAATATTTGATAAAGAAACCTTCTCGCTACCTTGAAGAAAAATGAACATGAAAGATCTCACGATCATAAAATTAAACATCATGTTAACATATCAACAAAGAAGTCATTCTATCTTCAAAACATGCAATTGAAAACCTATCTGAAATATTATATATTCTCAATGTACGGGAATATTTTATAGATATGACATCTTTACATTTATTAGACTTAGGGATTAATGAACTAGGTCAATTTTCGGATGGACAATTATTTAGAACAATAAGATATCAAAATATGTATGGGGGTCCGCGAAATTAAATAAGTTCTTCAAGGGGTCCGCGAAGTAAAAATCTGTGGGAACCGCTGGTCTAGTCTATAGTCCAGTCTATAGTCTAGTCTATAGTCTAGTCTATAGTCTAGTCTATAGTCTAGTCTATAGTCTAGTCTATAGTCCAGTCTATAGTCTAGTCTATAGTCTAGTCTATAGTCTAGTCTATAGTCTAGTCTATAGTCTAGTCTATAGTTTAGTCTATAGTCTAGTCTATAGTCTAGTTTATAGTCTAGTCTATAGTCTAGTCTATAGTCTAGTCTATAGTCTAGTCTATAGTCTAGTCTATAGTCTAGTCTATAGTCTAGTCTATAGTCTAGTTTATAGTCTAGTCTATAGTCTAGTCTATAGTCTAGTCTATAGTCTAGTCTATAGTCTAGTCTATAATCTAGTCTATAGTGTAGTCTATAGTCTAGTCTATAGTCTAGTCTATTGTCTAGTTTATAGTATAGTCTATTGTCTAGTCTATAAATAGTACGTAGTCCATTTTACTGTCTGTTCTATCGCTTTCACTTCCTTTTTATCCATTTTTTTTTTAATAACAGCCTGCTTTTAAGAACTGCCACTGTACGCAAACAAAGATTGTGTATGTGTGTGTGCAGCAGGCCAGGTGTTGTGTTAAATTGGCCATTTTAATATACTTGCACTTGTATGGCGTGCACTGAAGTGCAGTCAACATTTTGCACCTTGTTTTTATAAGCTTTTAATGCAACTTTGGAAGAGAACAAATATGTTAACATGAAAAGAACATTTATTTAAACAAATTTGGCTGTTATATACTACATACATACATACATACATACATACATACATATGTATGTATCTATATAGTGTTGGTGTTCATATGTCAACTGTAGTTATTATTTTAATAACTGGCCTTAAGAACAATAGATTTTTGTTCAACATTGTTATTTTCACTTAAAAAAAATTTAAAAAGCCTTCTACTTTTTTATGGATTTTAATTGTTTATGCAAATATTTTATAATTTTTTTTTCAATATAGCTTTTTGTTAAAAACAAATTTCTCTTAAATATTTAATAATACTTACAATTGTATAAATTGCACTTGTTATAGCCAAATTTTTAGCATGCAACATGCGACAACATCCGGTGCCCGTTAAGGGTCCATATGGATATAATATAACCGATTTCATTTTTTCACCAGCCCCAGCAGCAACAGCAGCAGCAGCGACACAACTTTTATGTTTAGTTTTCATAGCGAAATGATAATGGCGTCAGCAGGAGCAAATGTTTGATATAGCAGCAGTTGTGTTGCAGTAGTATTAGTGTAATATTCTATACAATACTTGAACATGGTTTTTTGTTTACGCTTCAGTTAGTTTTGTTTTAAAATAAACACATATGTATATGTATTTATATAATGTATGTATTGTATGTATGTACATTTACTTGTATCTTTGTTTTTAGTTTTAGTTGTTGTTATGCTGGCTGTTGGTTTGTTGTTGTGTATATAAATCTTTTGTTGGCACTTGTTTTTTTTGTATTTATTTTATTTTAGTTTGTTGTTCTTTGTTCAGCAGCGTTGATTGGATGGTTGGTTTGTTATATTTTTTTACTTTTTTATTATTCACTGTTGCACTCTTTCAAATTAATTAAGCATAAGTTGGCCAACTGCTGCAAATATATAAAAAAAGAACAAAAAAAAAATTAAGTTTCATTTAAAGTAGTTCTTTTATAAAAAATATGTTGAAAATATTACAAAAAAAATCCGGTTTATATGTAACATTATAACCATATGTTTGTTATCAGGTTTATAAATCGTTTAGTACCCTCTTATTAAAACTCAAGTGTGAACCTAAAAAAGAAAGTTCACAGCTTAAAAATTATTTTGTTTTTCTTTTGCCTTTGATGGAAAAATACTTAAGAAAAATATAATCAGTTTAAAACCACTTTTGTTTAGTAATTTACCCCGCCAGCCTTTAAAATCTTAAGTAGTTTGATTTGAAAACAATCATACGCCATGTGTTGTTGTCTTAATCCTTAAGAAAACAATATGTAGTGGCAAGTTATAATAATGTGTGTGTGTGTGTATGTGTTTCTAAGGATTTTTATAGCTTAAAAAGGAAAATCTTAAGAAAAAAAGAAAATTATGATATTGACTTTAGTCTGCTCCCCTAAAAAGTTATGTAAACTTACAGATTTAAGGATTTTGAGGGTCTGGCTTTCTTTGTTTAGTAATTAAAGTCATTTGTGAAAGATTTAAGTTAAAGAAAAATAAAATAGGGGAACATTTTGTTTGATCTGATTTCGATAGATTTCAATATACACACATACATACAGAGAGACAGGCAGACGGACAGACAGACAGACAGACAGACAGACAGACAGACAGACAGACGGACAGACAGACAGACAGACAGACGGACAGACAGACAGACAGACAGACGGACAGTCAGACAGACAGGCACGCAGGCAGGAAGATAAACATATAGAAAAAATCGACTCCGATATCAATAAGAATTCGGAATATCTATACTTTCTAAGGTTGGACAGCCAGACAGACAGGCAGGCAGGCAGGAAGACAGACAGACAGAAAAAATCGACTCCGATATCAATAACAATTCGGAATATCTATACTTTCTAAGGTTGGACAGACAGACAGGCAGGCAGGAAGACAGACAGACAGAAAAAATCGACTCCGATATCAATAAGAATTCGGAATATCTATACTTTCTAAGGTTGGACAGACAGACAGACAGACAGATAGGCAGGCAAGAAGACACAGACATACAGAAAAAATCGACTCCGATATCAATAAGAATTCGGAATATCTCTGCTTTCTAAGGTTGGACAAACAGACATACAGAAAAAATCGACTCCGATATCAATAAGAATTCGGAATATCTATACTTAAATTTAGTGGTAAATTAAGCTTTTAAAGACTATAATGAAAGCATAATTTAACGTTGGCGTATGATTATTATTAATTTAAATAAATAGCACTCATACGCTTCAATGTTCCACTTAAAATTTTTAAAACCTGCTTTTACGTGTCACTAAAACATTTATTTTCTTTTGTCACAAAATTCCAGTTGTTAAATTTATTTTTAACAACATTGTTTTTCTAAGACGTCTTTATTGTTAAAAAGAAACTAAATTTTACTATGGCTATTTAATATTTATAGAGGAAATTACAAAATTTATGGTCGTTTGTTTCTTTTAAGAAAACAATGTAAAAGATAATGAAAACTGTAACAACAAAACAAAGTTTATTGACCCTTATTTAAATAAATGACACAGTTTTGTTCTTAAGTTTTTTAAACAAAAAAAGAAAAACACTAATAAAAATGGCCAAAAGCCAGCTAAACAAACACAGTTACCTACTGTGTTTTATATATTTTTTTGGTTTCTATTACTATAACGAGACATAAACAAAGACATTAAAACAACAATTACTAACATTAAAGTTCGAAATAAAAGAAACAAACAAAAACATAAATGAGCAACGTTAAACTTGATGGCTAATAACAGCAACAAATTTTTGCTACTTAAGCAAAAACCTCAACGAAATTAACAAAAAAAAAATATAGAATTTTTATGAAGAAATATGTTTAAGGGGAAAAAATTATAGAAACCCAGCTACACAACGCTCACGAATTAGTATATTGTAATAAAGAGATAAGTGCCGGTAGATGGTGAGGGTTTCGCAACATAACAAGACATCACATTTATATGCGTAAGATGCTGTGTATGAGTTTATAAAACATAAATATAAAGCCAAAAGTCAAAACAAAACAAAACAAAAAAATGTAAACATTTGCAACTTTTATATACTCATACTTGTAAGGGGGTATATACACGAACCCAGCAAACATAACGACAATATTTTGATCAAATTTAAAAAGTTTGTTTCCCAAATTATTGCGATAGCATTTTGTCAAATAGCAATATTTGAGTATATTTATAGTTCAAGTTATTTCCAAGTTAAAATCAAATCACAATGTTTTCTGGGTATTTTAATACTCATTTAAATAACCGCAACCAACAATCAAATTTTCTAAGAGTGAGTTTATACAAGAGTGCTTAACTCAGATGTGAGCAGAAATTGTAACAAGAAAACTGATAAATTGTTTCATTTTGGCTAGCATTTTAATTAAGTAGAAATCTAAAATTTTAAGTTTCATTAAAAGTTGAAAATATTTGAAAAATGACACGATTTTTGACCTCATATGCAATAAATATTGGAAGAGTACCAATATAGAACTGAACTAGAACTGAACTAGAACTCAACTAGAACTGAACTAGAACTGAACTAGAACTGAACCAGAACTGAACCAGAACTGAAATAGAACTGAAATAGAACTGAAATAGAACTGAACTAGAACTGAACTAGAACTGAACTAGAACTGAACTAGAACTGAACTAGAACTGAACTAGAACTGAACTAGAACTGAACTAGAACTGAAGACTAGAACTGAACTAGAACTGAACTAGAACTGAACTAGAACTGAACTAGAACTGAACTAGAACTGAACTAGAACTGAACTAGAACTGAACTAGAACTGAACTAGAACTGAACTAGAGCTGAACTAGAATGGACTAGAACTGAACTAGAACTGAACTAGAACTGAACTGAACTGAACTAGAACTGAACTAGAACTGAACTAGAACTGACTAGAACTGACTAGAACTGAACTAGAACTGAACTAGAACTGAACTAGAACTGAACTAGAACTGAACTAGAACTGAACTAGAACTGAAGACTAGAACTGAACTAGAACTGACTAGCTAGACTGAACTAGAACTGAACTAGAACTGAACTAGAACTGAACTAGAACGAACTAGAACTGAACTAGAACTGAACTAGAACTGAACTAGAACTGAACTAGAACTGAACTAGAACTGAACTAGAACTGAACTAAAGCTGAACTAGAACTGAACTAGAACTGAACTAGAACTGAACTAGAACTGAAACTAGAACTGAACTAGAAAGAACTAGAAACTAAACTAGAACTGAACTAGAACTGAACTAGACCTGAACTAGAACTGAACTAGAAACTGAACTAGAACTGAACTAGAACTGAACTAGAACTGAACTGAATGAACTAGAACGACAGAACTGGACTAGAACTGGAACTAGAACTGAACTGAATGAACTAGAACTAGAACTAGAACTGGACTAGAACTGAACTAGAACTGGAACTAGAAACTTGAACTATAAACTGACTAGAATGAACTAGAACTGAACTAGACTGAACTAGAACTGAACTAGAACTGAACTAGAGTGAACTAGAACTGAACTAGAACTGAACTAGAATGAACTAGACTGAACTAGAACTGAACCTAGAACTGAACTAGAACTGGAACTAGAACTGAACTAGAACTGAAACTCGAACTGAAACTAGAACTGAACTAGACTGAACCTAGACTGAACTAGAACTGAACTAGAACTGAACTAGAACTGAACTAGAACTGAACTAGAACTGAACTAGACTGAACTAGAAACTGAACTAGAACTGACTAGAACTGAACTCGAACTGCACTAGAACTGAACTAGAAACTGAACTAGAACTGAACTAGAACTGAACTAGAAACTGAACTAGAACTGAACTAGAACTGAACTAGAACTGAACTAGAACTGAACTAGAACTGAACTAGAACTGAACTAGAACTGAACTAGAACTGAACTAGAACTGAACTAGAACTGACTAGAACCTAGAACTGAACTAGAACCTGAACTAGAACTGAACTAGAACTAGAACTGAACTACTGAACTAGAACTGAGGAACTGACTAGAACTGAACTAGAACTGAACTAGAACTGAACTAGAACTGAACTAGAACTGAACTAGAACTGAACTAGAACTGAACTAGAACCTGAACTAGAACTGAACTAGAACTGAACTAGAAATGAATAGAACGAACTAGAACTGAACTAGAACTGAACTAGAACTGAACTAGAACTGAACTAGAACTGAACTAGAACTGAACTAGAACTGAACTAGAACTGAACTAGAAACTGAATAGAACTGAACTAGAAACTGAACTAGAACTGAACTAGAACTGAACTAGAACTGAACTAGACTGAACTAGAACTGAAAACTAGAACTGAACTAGAACTGAACAGAAACTGACTAGAACTGAACTAGAAACTGAACTAGAACTGAAACTAGAAACTGAACTAGAAGAACTGAACTAGAACTGAACTAGAACTGACTAGACTCAACTATATCTGACCTAGAAAAGTACTTTTTGCA